CTTCGTACTGCATCAGGCATTGAAACGACTTTGTATCGTAAACCAACTGACCGTAATACTATTTTACACGGACAGTCCTATCATCCTGTGTCATTAAAGCGCTCGTTACCAATTTAGTCGTATTCGCCGTATTTGCAGCGGTGATGAAGATTTTCAACAGCAAGCACAAATTTTATCACAGAGATTCAGAAAACGATCATATCGAGAAGAATGGATTCAGTCTGCAGTGAGTCGTTTTAAAAATGTGTCACAACAAGAGAGTCTCGTTAAAAAAAACATAAAAAATTTGACTGTCATGTTAACTGTTACATCCAATATTCACCTGTGTCGAAGGACATTGATAATGTTTTATTGAAATTATTATTATCATCACAATAATATTGTACGGTCATGTGACCTTTGATCACCTGGAGGTAGGCCAATAAAGATTGGGATATCAGTGTTGTTCATTTGTCTGATGAAGAGCCTGCGTGCTCGAAACGTCACATATGCTATGCGACAGTTTTTAAAAAAAATACATTTTTCGATACTTTTGGAGCTTTGGCATTGCCGACTTTACATTTAAAAAATTTAACCCTTTTCCAACCATATCAAACACAGAAGAACAGACATTGCATGCTGCTTTTAGATTTTGCCAAGGACACGCTGAAGTAATGTGCTGGCTTTCGGTACACGAACACCACCAGCAGGGTCCCAGAGGGGACACATTTGTTGATTTGGTTCATGATCTAAGGCTCCTTAATTCAACTTCAAGCCAACTGGAGTACCATGAAAAGAGTCATAGCCGCGTGAACACCAACAGAGTAAGTTATTTGGAAAAGGTGTTAAAAAGGGACCTGTATGTTTTCACTGTATGAATGTTTCCTCTGAAAATGAGGTCAGCTCCCCACCTACTTTTTCCATTTCAATTCTTTTCAAAATATGTTTAATTTACAATGTGTTTGTAAACTGGAAACGATGGACTCTAAAAGATGTATATTACCTTTAGCAGGTTTTCCACCAGCACCTGAAGCAAGATAATCAGACTTAGAAGAGAGCTGTGTAGTTTTTGTTAATTAGCCACTAAGAAAATCCAAATCATCAATAGACTTGTTGAATGAATGGCACCTCCAGGAAGACCTCCTCCAGGAAGACCTCCTCCAGGTAGACCTCCTCCAGGAAGACCTCCTCCAGGTAGCCCAGTGCCTAAATGAAAGCCTAATGGTTATATGTAATTACTTGACTGCACTTTAATCACTGCTGACTATTCATTGGATGGTAAGCACCTGATTTAGCCGGTTTCAGACCTCCAGCCACTGGGTAAAATCTTCCAGCACCACCATATGCACCATAAGCCCCATAACCACCTACAGTAGAAGAGACATACAGCAACAAATTCAGGAAATCTGTATTAACATGGTTAACTTGATGATAATGAGGACTATGTATCGTTTTCATTGGGATATTCTGGGTTCAGTACAACTCAATCAGCAGCATTTGTTGCTTTTCAACTCTTTGGTAACACTTTATTTTGAAAGCCCACTTTAGCATTCTACTAACTATTAGAAACTTTGCAACTACATGTCAAGTAGCAGTTATTAGAGTATTAGTAGACCATCTGTTTAATATCTGTTAACACTTGGTTTCAGTTGTCCACCAACAGACATTCTGCTGACTACATGTGACTTTGCAAGTATGTCAACTTTTTCTACTAATCCTAATGAAGAGTAGAGAGAAGACAATGACATTATAGGAAGCAGCATGGAGGCTAGCACAGATCTAGCAATGTAGCGAATGTTTGTGTCTATATATAGTGACTATTGTGACCATGAGTATGCCTCTCTATAGATCATGTGAATTCATAACTTTGGATAGTGGAATAACAAGTTAGGAGTGATATCTAATGGGAAGGATGTCACAAATGAATCATTATGAATTATGAAGATGATCTGCCCCCATCCCAAAATGGCTTGGACTGTAAACGCTATGGAGTGATTTAGCAATGAGACTGAGAAGGGCTGGATGGGACAGAATGAAGAAAGAGAGAGAGAGAGAGAGAGAGAGAGAGAGAGAGAGAGAGAGAGAGAGAGAGAGAGAGAGAGAGGGGAAAATTATTTTTTAGGGAGATGGAAAGTAAGGGCTCAGAGACTACAGTGGATCTTTTTGGCTAAGCAAATGAGGAGTTAGCTTGATTGAAAATTATTGCTACATTGTGTCCTCCTTCAACACGGAAACCCTAAACAAATGAGGTCACAACGTTTGCATCCGTATTTTATGGTAGAGGGAGGAATACAGGAATGGAAAGGATGTGCAGTAAAATGCTTTGCTTGTGAGTCTTTCTGTTGCCTTGTTGCCATTATAAATCTGAGAGTTGCTTTAAAAGGCCTCTAAATCTGGATGTTTGAACTTCTGACACAGGAGAAAAAGATTAAACTTCTCACAGTGGCTGATGGCAAAAGGAGGCTACACACTCTTGCTTTCCGAGCACAGTTTGCTAAAGACATTCTCCTGAAAACTTTCTGATATAACACAGAATACATAGTTTCATTAATGATGGCAAGCTGTCCTGGTCCAAAGACAGCAAATCAGCCCCAAAACATTATGCTGCCCCAACTGTGCTTCACAGTTGGGATGGGGCGAATGCAGAGTTTTGTTGTAACCAAATCCGACGGTTCTCATTTAAAATCAAAGTTCAATTTACTCATCGGTCCACAAAACATTCTTTCTCATCCACATGGTCTTAGGCAAATTTGAGGTTGGTAGAAATGTTCTTCTTATTGAGCTGTGGCTTCCTCTGTGCCGTCCTGCCTGATTGTGAAGAAATGACTGCTAACTTTAGCCAGTTCATGAGAGGCCTCTAGATCGATCTTTAAATGCTGTGCTCTGGGGTTTTGTGACCTCCTAAAATTGCTCTTGGAGTGATTTTTGTTTCGATAAGCATGCTTAGGCAGAGAAACTGGTGGTAAATGTATAAAATGTTTCCATTTGAACAGTATCTGCCTGATTGGTGGACATTAAACTTTTTTTTTCACTTTGAAAAGCATCAAACACTTTTTTTTCTGGAAATCAACATTGCAATGACAGGATTTTATGATGATGTCATCACTACCATGCTGTTCAGAGCATGTAGAGTACTTCCATATGCGTTACATATTTTTTCTTGGCTGTTTACTCTCATGCTGTTGGCTGTTGCGCAATTGATCAGGTTCAACCTTCATCCCTCCTTAATACCAGTGCAATATATCATCAGATAAGTTATTTTGTGACCGGTCTGTCAAGTTGTATTTATGACTGGGAGCCTCTGGGATAATTTTAAGTTGGGCGGGCCAACTCAAAATTATTATTATTTTTTTTCTCAGAGCTGGACATGATCTGACACTGCTGTGCAAGTATTTGAATGAGTGCTTTCCAAGACAGTCTAATAGACCCCTTTTCAGTTAGTAAACATTGTGAAGTTTTTTATGGGCGGAGCTTAGGTGGAGGCAGAAAGATTCCCATGACCACTTTACTAACGCTAGCTAGCAAGTTTTGTTTGCTTGTTTTTTTAACAATGACTGGAGAAAATTTGATTTTATCTGAATATGTAATGTCACTAGCTGTCCAGGACCGCAATTGTTATTTGAAAATGTTAACTTTAACTGAAGGAACCAGATTGGCCGACTCGTATACACTCATTCAATGGATGGACAATCTTAAATCTTTAGATGCCTATAACTATGTACTAACAGTGGCAATTGTAAGCAAATGCAACTACTTGAACACACACCTGACACATAACATGGGCCTTCACAGTTCCCTCTCTCTACAACTGCACTTATGGCAATTGTAGAAAGCGAGACGACACAAATGGTTTCCTTTATGTTTAGCTGCTAGTCATTAGTTAACTTCCCAATTTCTGATTAGGTGGGCATGCATGAGAAATCTTTAGACTCGTAACCAAACCATAATACATAAAAGACAAGAGTTTATTTAACCTTAACTGATATTAAGTGTGCGCTGCATTTTTGATGGTCGCTTCTGTCCAGTCCGCTTGTTTTATTACAGCTGTCATCGGTTTTTTGTCTGGCAATGGCAGCAGGTATGTGATAAAACTTTAAATTGGAGCCTGTACTCCATCAATTCTGACACTCAGAGATGACATTTTAAGCTCCTAATATAGCGGACTCTATGCTGGTTTGCATTGGCCACCTCCAGTTATTCCTTTGTTTTGCCTCCAGCTAATGCTGTGACGTAATTGTGACGTCGGCACAAAAAGGGTCTATATTGTGGTATCAGTTATTTCCAACATAGGCTCATTAGAAAATCCTGTTTCTTGCAGAACTCCAAGAACGTACCTATACTGTATATATAATTCAGTGCAGTTTCCCACTAGTGGCAGTAAAACAGCAACAACTTTTATTCCTTTTCACACAAATTACGAATAAAGGGGCAGATTATCCATTAATAACATTTATTTTTGCAAAGACAGCAACACGCGAGAATCCTTCTACCGGATCACTGGCTACCGTCGTTGGACCAGTGGGCGGACCTTACAACAGTATGACCTCAAAACACTTTAAACTAAAAAATAATAATACTAATTTCATGTTTGTATCACATAACCAGTTCCATATGTATGGCTTTTATGATGTAGTAAGCTTGCTCAGTAGCTCACCTGGTATAGCATTGCACTTGCGATACAGAGCGCTGGGGTATGAGCCCTATGAAACACAAGTCACGATAAAACAGCTCAAAGACTTGTAGAAGCAAGATAAAGGGGCGTGGCTGCTTTAGCAATTGCATTTTTGCCACATTTGCTTTTGTTAACACTACTGGTTAGATTCAGGGTAGGGTTTAGTGTAGGTGTGAATGTGACACCTACAAAAAACAACAATAAAATAAACAATAAAAGTTTCCACATTCATGTTCATCTGTTTTGGAGAAATTTGAACACTCTTTTAGTGCCATTCACTGGACATTTTGCTCTGAGTGCCACAAAATGTGCAAGAAGCAATGTAATTTCATGAGATGTCGTCACATGAATGTTTTTCAAAAATGACTGGTTGCTTTATTTGTTGGTCAGCCGGACATGCCTAAGTGGACAGTTCTGGGCCAGAATAAGCTGTAAAATGGGCCAGACTATGCTAAACTTTGGGCTTATGTGACACTTACCAAAGGTCACCGCTAGCACATCTGAACTCACAGAGGCTCAAGAAATGTGAAATGCTCTTGGACTAATTGTGGCTAATTTCTTTTTTGTTCATCATGAACTCAAATCTTTAGATGGACCTTGTGACGAGAGGGGTGGGGCCGAGAGCCGTGGGAACGGAGCGAGGCCGGTGGAGTAAATGCTAATGCACGACACCTGCTCCACTCACCGGTCTCGAGGATAAAAGGAGGAGTGACGACAGTGTTGGAGGAGAGAGGACCAGGCCTGGACTTTATTTTGTGTTTTGTGTGCGGCAGTCGTCCGCGAGGAGCTGACGCTTTACTTTTATTTTGTGTTTGTTTATTTTATTAAATCGTTTAAATGTTCGCCGGTTCCCGTCTCCTTCTTCCCATGACTACGAACTTTATTACATTGGTGCCAAAACCCAGAAGGAAGGAGGGACACGCTGCCAGAGATCCCTTGCCGCTGTGGTGAATCCGCGGAGCAGTCTGCCGCCATGGAGGCTCGAGGCGGTGGGCTGGGGTGAGTTGCCGGGGGGGCGGACGAACTCGCTTCCGGCTGCCTGGGCTGTGGAGGGACGGCTGCCGTCCGTGAGGGAGCGGAGGAGTCGCCGCCGTTTGCCTGCTGCCATCCGCCATGATGGGAAGGAGCAGGGAACGGGGGACTCCTGCCGGCTGCCCGAACCCGGAGGAACCGTCGCCGTCCACCGGGCGGCAGAGGAGTGTTGGGCCGTCCACCGAGGGCTATCCAGTGCCGCCGTCTGGCATTGCTGAAGAGTTTACCCAGCTGGTGGAGGGCCGAGCGGCAGTGTGTCTGGGAACCGGAACAAGATTTTTTTTTCCCTCTCTCCCCTCTCTCATCTCTGTCTCTCCTCATCCTTCCGTCTCCTCTTCTCTCATCTCGTCTGTCTGTCCTTGCCCCCAGGTACGCTGCGGCCGCCGTGATTGGCTCCCCCGGAGAACCAGGCCTGGACTTTATTTTGTGTTTTGTGTGCGGCAGTCGTCCGCGAGGGGCTGCCGCTTTACTTTCATTTTGTGTTTGTTTATTTTATTAAATCATTTAAATGTTCGCCGGTTCCCGTCTCCTTCTTCCCATGACTACGAACTTTGTTACAGACCTGTTGATCCATTAGTTTCTCAGTGCATCTAATCTTTACTAATATATCAGTTAGAGCGACTCTCAGACATGTGGATCAGATGCCCAGACAGGTGTGTCTGC